TTTTAAAACTAAGGATCTGTGGGTACTTAAAATAGGAAAACCCTGTGACTTAAGTACCCACTCTCTTCCAGTGACACAATAAAGTAAATTTACAAGATACCACATTGATTAGGAAATATGATTTTAAATGAAAAACGAAAATTTAAGTTACATTAACAAACAAAAAAAAACTTTTTTAACAAGAATTAGAACCAATTTAGTTTTATTTTGTAAATAATTTTCATGCAAGACGAGTAAGGAATCAAGTCATGTGTAGTAACATCTTCTCAGTTTCTTCATAAGTCAGTGCAAGAAGAAATTGAGTGAGTATGCGTTTTAGATTACAATAATTTAGTGCATATATATTCAACCTCCGGTTTACATTATTATAAATAAAAGGACCTAGAAAAAGTAGAAATCGTTTGCTAAAAGATTTATTAAATAGTTTACTCTTGAAAATCAATTTGTTGCGACGAACCTCTCCTTTATAAGGATCTAAAGGTAGTTTGGAATGTTGGTGTATTAATGTATATAAGATGAATAATTTACGTACTGATAAAACTTCGCAGAATGAGTATAAGGCATCGGTAGGAAACAGAAACGGCTTGAATGTAGCTACTTTTAGAACTGCGCGTTGGGCACGCTCCAGTGGGAGTATAGTTGTCTTAGGAACGCCACCCCAGGATGTAATGCAATACAGAATCAAGGATTGACAAAGAGAGAAGTAAATGGATTTGAGGAGTGATGAATCAGTTACTGTCCTAAGTGACTTGAAAATATAGATCAGTTTGCGAATTCTTGCAGCAAGGACATTGATATGGAGTTTAAAAGATAAATTGCTGTCCAGCAAAACTCCAAGATATTTAATTTCATTAACTCGCTCGATGGACGAACAACAGCAAGAGTTTGTACCCCAACAGGTATGTGCAGTAATTGATAGAGATTCCTCACTTGGCAGATCAACCGTTCTTATAGAGTGAATGATATATTTGGTCTTCTGAACATTAAGTGTGAGACGGTTATTGTTTAGCCATTCGCAAACCATATCAAATCCAGATTGTGCATTTAGAAAGACATCACGCCAAGAATCACTAGAAAAGAAGAGAACAGTGTCATCCGCAAAGGAAAGAAGAGAGCAATTTGGAATATTAAGGGTGCAAAGATCATTCGCATAAATTAAAAACAGTGTAGGACCAAGAATGCTTCCTTGCGGTACTCCGTATTCAATTTGGAACTCACAACTTTTCTGTCCTTCAATCACGACCGCCTGTTTACGATTTGATAAATAATCTTGAAAAAGGCTAAGTTGATTACCACGTATACCAAGTGTTTCCATTTTGCGCAATAATATAGATATTGGAACGGAATCAAACGCTTTAGCCACATCGAGGAATATTGTAAGACATTTCTTACCCCTATCCAGGTTTTCAATTATTTTGGAAGTTAGTTCAAGAACAGCTTGAGAAGTAGATCGCCCTGCTCGAAAACCATATTGGTTCTGACTAAGAAGATTTTTATTTTCCAGAAATTTGATAAGACGGTTATTTAAGATGCGCTCAAATATCTTAGACAAAGTCGGAAGAATAGATATAGGTCGGTAGTTCTCGACTCTTGTGCGGTCCCCGACTCCTTTAAATATTGGATGTACTAAAGCACTTTTAAATACTTTTGGGAAAATCCCCTGTGAGATAGAAAGTTTAAATATATGAGCTAATAAGGGAACTAGAATATTACTGTTATTTTTAATGATACGAGAGGAGATTCCATCCCAACCTGCAGCACAATCAGTCTTTAAGCCACATATGATTTGGTTTATTTCCTCTTCTTCAGGGTCGATCAAGACAAATGAGTAGGCTGACCGGGGAAAAGATTGTAATGAAGTTGCATTTCTAGGGTTGGTAATGTTAAATTTAGTAGCAAAATTTGTTCCTACATTTACGAAATATTTATTAGTTTCATCAAGAGCCAGTTGAGGAGAGCTACCTGATAACAGGACACCTGACGAGAAACAACTATTTTTTAGGCAAGATGCATCTCTTATAACCTCCCATAGACGTTTGTTGTTTTTTCCAGCCTTGCGCAAAAGATCCATGAAATGGGCCCTTTTGACTTTTTTTATCAAGGTGGCAAGGAAGTTGCGATATCGGGTGTAAGTTAATTTGAGCGTTTCATTTCCAGGAGCTTTTTTAAAGTTCTTGTGTAGGCGATCCCTATTTCTAATACATCTTAATAGACCAGGCGTGATCCAGGCCTTTATAGGTTTTTGACGTTTAGGTAAGAACTTGGTGGTAGTATTTCTCTGTATTAAAACACGCAGAGCATCAGTCAAGGTCTCAGCAGCTGCGTTTGCATCAGAAGAAGTAAGAACCGGAGAAAAATCGTATTTGGAGATCTCATCTGATAACATTTTATGGTTAATTGTGTTCAGAGTGTTAGTAGTACTGGCATGTTTTTTACTTTTTAGGGAGAGGAGTATAGTGTAGTGGTCAGTTACAGAGGAGTTAATGATCAATGTTGTAGCTGGATAAGAAGTTTTAATACAAAAGTGATCCAAACACGCATTATTTCGAGTAGGTAAGTTGTGGGATGGAAGCATTCCATTTGCTGCAAGGAGATTCAGATATTCTAATGTTTTTTCACTAGTGTTAAATGGGACTATGTCTATATTAATGTCTCCCGTAAGAATGATATGCTGAACTGATCTCAAACTATGCAGTATTTTCTCTAATGATCGAATGAAGTGTGTTGAATTGTTTACATTGCACATTTTTAGGTTAGATTGACATTGTAAATAGGTAATATTGTAGTACGACCATTTCTTTTGATACGTTATTATGGTTCAACTCGGTCAGGTTTTCTACCAATTTTGAATTAATTGCTTCATGTCAATAAGTTATTGTTTCTATTCCGTTACATATTCTTTTACCTTTTTTCAGGAAAATCAAGAGAGTCGGATAGTCAACGAAGGTTTTAAGAATGATGGAAAGTTTGAAACTCCTGGGAAAACAGGCAAGGCCGACCAAAGAAAGAAATGGTCACATAAAGAACCATGGCCAGATGCTTTTAGTGAAGATACCTATCACTAATTTTACTAACTGCACATTTACAAATTGTTTAACTAAATAAACTTTTTATATACTACAAAATGATTTTTAGTATTATTTTCTTAACAAGTGTGTTAAAAAACGTCGCATGATGATACTTGTGTGTATTGATGATTACCTAACGGTTCTGGTCTCAATGGCACCTCAGCAGTAATCACCAACATTACACACTTTTACACTATAAAGTACTATTTTATCTATAATAATTTTATTCTGATTCAATTAAATATGCTTGGCCAAACTTTTTATAAGCATAGGTACCTACTATATATAAAACAGAAACAAAATACGACTGTATAGTGTGATATTAATTACCTATTTTACTTGAATGAACTGCTAGTATCAAAAACATTTTGGTCCGACTGTATAGGTTTGCTACATGCATACTAGTGGCGCCATCATTTAATGTCACGACTTTATAGACAAATTGTACGGGTACGACTAGAGTGCACGCAGATTCAAATTCAGACTCAGAAAACAGGCTCGTGAGATGTCAGCTTGAGGAAAGCAGGTGATGGCCACAGTGGAGGCAGATAATACAAGACGCGGAGGCGAGCACTGTTGCCAGGTTGGGAGGCCCCTCCTCCCAAATTTGGGGGGTTTTTAAAGCGATGGGGGGATTAATGGGGGAAGAAATTTTGTTTTGGGGAAAACGGGGGTTTTCTTTATTATATTTTTATATGAAAAAAAAAACCACTTCATAAACTTTTAATCTGTGAAAAGTCGCAATCGACAGTCATTCAACAGACTCTCTTTCTCATTAGACGCGTTCAAAGCTGTTGATCCAAAAACTAAAATTGGGGGGTGTTTTTGCAGTTGTAAACATGGAGGAGTTTTCTAATGAAGATCTAGCGTGCTTGTTAATGGCTACTGATAGTTGTCATTATAAATTAAAACGTGAGAGAATCGGTGTTCACGAAATTAATAGATTAAGGAGTGAATATATGGAATACCACCATTTGTTTCCCCAATTAAAATTCGATAGGAAATGTTTCTTCCAATATTTTATTATGGAAGTGGAAACGTTCTAACTACTATATTTAAAAAAAAAATAACCTCACATGATGAAGAATTAACATCGGTCTCTCCTTTTCATTCTGTATGGAGAATGGCAAGGATGCATTGTTGTCAAATTTAAGTTTAGATTTAGAGAATCGTGCCGGAATCGACACCAGTATGTGGCTATAATATTTACTCTATTTTTGAAATAAATATATTTTTGTTGCTCGTTGCCTTACTAATATTTAAATAACAATCTCTAATATTTTTTAAGAAAGCTTTTACTGTCAAAAATATGCTTTAAGCAAAATATAGTAGTTTCGCCTACTACATATTTTTTAGAAATATAGTATTTGATCCCCTAGTAAAGTAGGATACTATATTTTATAGGAGGGTTGGCAACCCTAGCAGCTCGAGATAACAAGTTTTTGGTCACCCATCCAAAATACTGTAGTAAAAAAATAACTTAATGAAACTCAATTCAACCACAATAAACTACTAGTAAAAACAGTCGCATTTACCACTCTTTTATGAAATAGGCCCCAGTTGTCAATAGGTCAGTTGACTCATGTCGAATTGTATTAAATAAATGTTTGTTTCTTAAAGTATTTGGTCTAAGGAATCTAAATATATCGATTTCACTTCATAAAAGCAGAAGACTGCTGTGGAAATTTAATTTCAAAAAATTAATTTTAGTCTATACTTTTTAAACACTAAAAACGCTGTTCGCCACATCCGCCATGATTGTGACGTCTCTTTGGTAGTAAACAACTAAATGCCATTCATACATAACCTTAAAACTTGTATTATTAAAGTTTCAGTTTGCTCACAGATCGGGAAGTGTGCACACACGTTGGTTGTTGTTCGCTGTAGTTTAACTTCGAATTTTTAATCAAGCTAGTGTTTCTCAAACTAAAAATGTCAGAGGCAGTGAATACATTAGAGTGTGCATTATGTGATGATGTGTTTACTGACGGTGCACATTGCCACTCTTGCAACAAAAAACTCCACTTCCACTGCGCGCAACTAAATGAACCTGGATATCGTAAAGTAGGTGCTAAAAAACAACAGCAGTGGCGTTGTCCAGCGTGCAGGCAGACAGGTCAGACTGTTCAAATTCCAGCTCATACTGCAATACCGTCACCGATCACATCTCCGGTTATCGGTCAAGGCAACGCTCAGCTCCTTGAGGAAATCAACAAATCTCTGTTTATGAAACTGGCACCGTTAGCTATACTTGCTGGTGAAATTAGAGTGTTGCGAGGGGAATTTTCCAGTATGAAGTCGTCGCTGGGAGCCATTGATGAAAGAGTAAACATTATACAAGATAAACTTGATGTAGTGACGGGAGATATTGAGGATGGTGAGCAGTGGAACCGTATGAACAACTTGGAAGTGAAATGCATACCGCAAAGCAAGTCTGAAAACCTACTTGAACTAATAAGTAGTCCTGGAAAATTAATTTAATATCCAATCGCCAAGAACCAGATTAACTTTACAACTACAGTGATGTCACGTGACCCGGATAATATCAAGCCAATTATTGTTTCTTTCCTAAATAGATATGTCAAAGAGGATTTTCTGGCAGCCTATAGAAAGACATCAAAATCAAACCCAATCGTACCTGCTGTCGCGACCCTCTTGGGGGCGGGGCTGCCAATGCAGCCCATATCCGTGATACAAACGTATCCACCGTGGATCGCGAGATTTTGACGATAGACACGTGACAAAGGGAGAATCGAGAGATGAAGGGTGATTACTTACCATAGATTATATTGTATGTACCTTCAAGCACCAGCGAATGTCCGTCCATGCCTCTCATCTCTTTCTTACTCCATCTGTAAGTATAAATAAAATTATGACACCACTGCGTGGTGCCACTAAGTCCCGGAGTCACACCATCATCACGGTATGATTACAGGATTCATAGAACACATAAATATTGTCATAAATGAGTATCAAGATCATCTATATGTCAATTACCCATGTTAACTCAACAATCTACTTTAGCTGTCTAAACGATGCGGAGATTTCCTAACATGACTTTATGCCATGTGTCCTACGCTCCTGCAGAGCGGTGTGAGCATGAGAGCCAAGCCGTCGCCTGCTCCCCACGCAACCCTTGCATGTGTGCGCCCACATGCAAGAGTCGCGTCGCCCACTTCTTATGGCACTACTATGGAACGTCTCCCATCTGGCTCAGCCACTATTCCAGCTCCGTCCAGACATAGCGCTGCGCATGCCATAACACTCTCTCTTGTGGTCTTTCGGTAGGGTACCCTAGGACTTGCCTCCTGCAGAAGCACAAGCCCTCCTCTTTTATATTGTTATAATTATGTCAATGCCACAGGCGGTTCACGCCTTTAACGCCGCTGGTACTTTCACCGTGTGAGAGAGTATCTTTTTACCTCCTTTTATATTGTTATAATTATGTCAATGACACAGGCGTTTCCCGTTCTTACGCCGGTGTGAGAGAGTATCTTTTTACCGTGCCGGTAAACACAGGTACATAGGCTAATATTTAGGTGAACTATTCTACTACTTAGCTTTCGTTATATTCCGTTGGTTCTCGAGCTCGTAGACAGGCACGCATCAGGTAGGCACATTTTTATGGCCCATAACAGTTATTAAATAACAGTACAAGGTAATAATAGTATATTAGTTAAAATAGCACAACAAACAAGAAGAGAAAAAAGAGCGGCTTACTTGACATTGACATTAGTTATAGCGGCAATTGATATGTGTTGCCACCTCAAACATCGCGACTGGTGTTGCCGTCGCGACACTCCCAACGGCGAGATTAAAGAGTGTTAAAAAGGCTGCGAGTCCACTCTTGGATCTTTTCCAAGGCTTTGGTCGCAGCGACATGTACTGGTCTGGAGTGTCTTATAACTTGTGGCATATTAACTGTGTCACCATCATGTGAGTCTGTCTTGTTAGTTTCATGATCAGATAAATCATCATCATGTATTGGCACTATTGTATCTGGGTTACTTTCCTTTAGGGATTCATTGTGATTTGCGAAATCTTCTAGAGGCAATTTTTCAATTTCAGGCGTATAGGCATGACTTACAAATCTTGTTTTATCTGAAGGTTGGTCAACGACCTTCGCTTGCGTTTCATCATCAATTTCATTTACCTCTAGCGGGTACAGTTGTGAAATAGATCGAGTGTATTCTGTGATCCCAACTCTAACCTTTGCTACTCTTATAAGACCATCGTCTCCTGGAGTAAGTGAGACTATTTTCCCCACTTTCCAGCTTTCACGATTTTTAGAGTCTCCTCTTATTTGAACTATTTGTCCTGCTTCTGGTTTTAATGCTGATTTGACTCTTGGTTCCTTAACTGAGTTTTGGTATCGCTCACGAAGACTAGGTAAATAACGGTTCATAAATATGTCTTTAAATTCTTCTAGAATAATCAAAGTCCTTTTCCATGACTTGACTAGGTTTATTTTGGTTTTTGTCCCCGTTATGGGTATATATTGTGAGGAAGTCGGAAGGAGTTAAAATATGTATCATTTCAGAATCTACGCACGTCAAAGGTCTTGTGTTTAATATAGCTTCAATCTCTTTTATTATCGTCATCAACTGATTGTCATACAAGAGATGTTTCTGTAGAGTCCTTTTCATACAATGTTTGACTAAACCTACTAATCTTTCGTAAAATCCTCCAAACCATGGAGCTAATTGAGGTATGAATTTCCATTGGATTTCTTTCTGTTTGCAATAGGAACTAGTTAGAATTTCTGCTATTAATTTAAATTGTGTGGTGTTATCTGAAGTTATCAATTTTGGTATTCCTCTTGTGGATATCATTCTTCTTAAAGCCAGAAGTCCTTCTTCTGCGGTTAGGTCTTGTACAATCTCCAGGTGTATGACTCTTATGGCTAAACATGTGAATAAACAAATCCACCTTTTAGCAGTTCCTTGGTCAGTTTTGACTAGAACTGGACCTAGGTAATCTATTCCCGTGAACGTGAAAGGTGAACTGTAGTTCACTCGTTCTTTTGGTAATGAAGGTGTATCTGGTAATGTGAATGGACCGCCTCCATGCTTGATACATCTTGGACATTGCCTTAAGACTTTAATTACTTGTACTTTTCCTTGTGGAATCCGAAAGTGTTTACGAATTATGCTTAATGTATGATTTACTCCTACGTGGTAGTTCTCCTGATGAGTTTTCTTAATCAAATTGTTTGTAAAGTAGCAGTCTTTTGGAAGTAATATTGGGTATTTCATATCGAATGACCATTGTGTATTTTCTAGTCTCCCTTTACATCTTAAAACTCCTTCGTCATCTTTAAACAAACGAAGATTACGACTAAGATTAGTTGTTTTCATATTCATTTCATCTGGATAATATTGTGCTTGAGTTTCGTGTTAATAATTTGTCTGAGTTGTACCAGTCTATAACTATTTGACTATCTGTCCATAAGAAATGTTGTTCTATCTTTGTTTGAAGAGCTGATTCTACGTAATTTAGTAACCGAGTTCCGATTAATACACCTAATAGTTCCAAACGAGGTATTTGTAGATTGTCTTGATCTTTTATAGGAGTTAATCTCGATTTACCAATTACAAAGGTTATACCCATTTCGTTTACTACATATACTGCTGCTGCGTATGCTTTTGCTGAAGCATCTGTAAAACAGTGTAACTGGTTTTTATTGTCTTCAAAGTTTTCTGTGTAATATCTCTGTATATTGGCTTGACAATTGTGTAGTTTTTTGTGTAATGGTCTCCACTGTTGTATGTTTTCAGTTGTTAACTGTGAGTCCCACTTGGTTTTGTTCTTCCACAATTCTTGTATAAATAACTTTGGAGATAATAATGAAGGTGCTACATATCCACATGGATCGTAGACGGATGCGATGGTTTTCAAAATTCCTCTTTTAGTTGTTTGTAGATCTATAGTTTTAGGTTTCAATTGTAATGTGTCCTCTTTTGTGTTCCAGCTTAATCCAAGAACTTTAACTATTGTTTCCTCATTCACATCTGTAACATTCTCTATAAATTCTCTTGAGTTTGAACTCCATTCTCTTAGGTTCATTGAAATCTTCTTGAATTCTTGCTTTAGCTTGTTATGTAATGTTATCGCTTGGAGTTTAGTTTTGGTTCCTGTAACTAAGTTATCTACGTAAATATTCTCTGAGGCTTGCTGTACGCTTCTATCGTTGGAACGTAGTAAGTGATGTTTAAATGTAGCGTTTAAAAGAAATGGACTTGATATAACTCCGAAAGGTACACACGACAGAATCTAAGATGTACTAAGTTATCTTCAGTTGCTGCTTTGGTTATGTCTTTGATCCATAAAAATCTAGTTACGTCCTTGCTATCATCTTGCAAACCAATCTGTAGAAAGGCTTTCTCCACATCAGCTGTCAAACCGATTCTATGTGATCGAAATCTTATTAAGAGTTTTGTCAGGTCTTCTAGTAGAATGGGTCCTGCTCTAAGACATTCGTTTAGACTGTAACTATTTTTTACCTTAGCTGAGGCATCATAGACGATCCTCAAATCCTTTCCTGAAGCTTGTATTCCATGATGAGGCAAGTAATGCATCTTATATTTGCTGCATTCCTGTTCTTCCGAAGGTACAACTTCTATTATTCCCTTTTCTAGTTGTGTTTGTATAGTTTCATTATATAATTTCAAAGTTTCTTTATTGATGCGTTTTAATAGATTCACCAGCCCTTTGGCCAGTCCTAAATTGGTGGGTAAATTGGGTAAATTTTCTTTCCATGGCCAACTGATACAGTATCTTTTACCGGAATATTGAACTGACTCATTAAAGTTTTTTTCTGCATCCTCTTCCTTAGTAATTTTAGGTGAATCTGTGATCCCGATGCATTCTAACTCCCATAGATTCTTTAGGTTGGTGTTGTCTATTGGCAAGTCAGGTTTGTTTAGTTTAACTTCTGCGCTAGATTGAAAGTAAGTGTTTACCGTAAGGTTGTCTTTTACTTCGAATTCTCTTTTGCCGGTTATTATCCAACCGAGTTGTGAATTTACTAAAAATAGATTGTCACTAATCTGTTTTTTATCTGTATTTATGATCGTGAAGTAGTAATCGTTACCAATGAGTATATCTACCTGGTCTCCAAGTGAACCATCATCGGCTAATAAAATTTTATCCTTCCATTGATTCAATTCCTTTTCAGGATAAGAAACTTGTTGAGCTATTGTGGGTACAATGTTAGCATACAGAATAATAGTTGTTTCGGTCTTTGTTGAAATAGGCAGTTTAACTAATGCGCTTTCATATTCATGGGGATGGTTTGATCCAAATGTAAAAACTGATAGATGTTGTTCTTCAATTATTGGTAGTTTAAGTTGTTTAGCTACTTGTTGGGTGACGTAAGTCCTTTGGCTTCCAGAGTCCATTAGGATTCGGCATTTTCTCAGTTTTGATCCTTCTTCATTCTTGGCATTTACTATTACTGTTTGCAAGATTGTCGATGTCGA